GTGTATATAAATACACTCTCATGCATATATATATATATATATATATATATATTAAACAAATGCCGTTCTTTTTAACATTTTATTCATCAAAGAATCCTGAAAAAATGTATCCACAAAATTATTAAGCAATTTTCATCATTGATAATAATACGCAATATTTCTTGCACACCAAATCAGCATATAAGATTGATTTCTGAAGGATCATGTGACACTGAAGACTGGAGTAAAATTGAGCTTTGCATCACATGAATAAATTACATTTTAAAATATTTTAAAGATATATTATGTGTATATCACTTTTTAAGACTGCAAAAAAAAAGATATTTATATCCCTGATATTTCCAGGTTTTTCATGACTGAAGGTATGCATCTTAAAAAAATAAGACATTTTAAAGAGCAATTTACAACGATTTACTTGTACGACCCATAAGCACATCAAGCAAACAAATTAAACTTAAATTGCACCTTGCTACTACCAAATTAACCAAGCATTCAATTACACAGCCTCAATATCAAAACAGTTGCACTGGAACTAACTGCATATTAGGCTAATTACCATATATTAGCATGTTCACAGGCCTTGCCTGCTCAACCAATCCAGCTGCAGTTAATTCCTGCGTGTCTCTCGTGTGCAAATTAACATATGATCGTCTTCACAGCATCTCAAAATGTTGTCCAAAGCTGTCCCCCGCATTAAACTTCCAGTGAAAAGAGCCTATATGTAGAGCATATGCCGTTCGAGCACACGACTTGCTTGCTAGTTGCGAGTTTTATCATTTGAAAGAGGTGAATGGGTTTTTACTTATAACCGGATCTAAACTAGGACAAATAAGGTCATTAACCTCTTACCCAATATGGGCTTTCCCCCGAGTTTCTCATACTTTCGTCGCTTGCTAAAGACCCAACGCAGGGTTACTGAACAAAGATCTGTGATTCAGACTGACCTGAGCACAGCAGTCCAAAGGCAGCAATTCTGTGATTGTTTAAGATCAATAATCTACGTTATAAGATCGGTTACATTTCAGAGAACACAAAACATTTCCCTAATTTTAGCTTTAAAGTTCCGGGAACGTTTTATTTCTAAACAACCAAAAACGAACATTCACAGAACATTCTGGGAACCAAAGCTGGGATGAGACTGTGTCTATATGATTAAAACAACAACTAATCAATTTTTTTTTGTCAAGTATGTAGTTCCATTTATTTCATAAACAAAGCTTTTGCAGAATCATGAACAGTGACCTTCGGCGAGAAGCAATAAAGCTCCAGTTCTTGAGTGTTTTGAAGGATTCTCTGTGATTAGAGCCCTTGAAGAAATGTTGGCACACTGTCTATTCATTACCATTCCGGTCCTCTTTTATGAGATTATGGCTTTTTCTGATTCAGTGGAGTCCAAAAGCAGTGTACATGGCTTTTTAGTCCGTTCCAGACTTGCAGATATCAACATCTTTTGTTTACAGTCTCATCAGGATTTCCCTTTGATCGTGGCGAGAAGTGCTTGTTTTTTTATCTTTGACGGTTTTTGGAGTTTCATCCAGATCAGAGTTGATTGTAATCAAGTCAATTCTAATTATTATGCTACTTGTGATGGTTTAATTACTGAGAAATGAGAAATTACTTTTCACACATATTTTATTCATTATGAATGGTGCTGACTAACGCAAGCATCACTATTATTGTTGCTCATACTAAGCTTAAGCACTCAATTCATCTCACAATGTTTGTGCTAAAAACACGAATAGTACCTCAAAAACATGTAATTTTTCTAAGCAATCAGTCGTATTTTTGCCTGGCAAGCAATAAAAAAAGTTTGGAAAAATCTCACAGATTTATAGAGAAAGGAGGAGGTACCTGCTCCATAACTAGAGTCCAGAATACCATAGAGACTTTGGACTCTTTTTACCTGGGCAATCATCTAGAAAGCATCCAGAACAGCCTAGCAACCACCTAGAGCACCCTAGCAACCACATAACAACGCCTTGTCAAAATGTAGCGTGAAAGTAAAATGTTTCAAACCGTTGAGATGAAATGGAGGTACAAATTCTTCTTCTGGTTGCTCCTCATTTTCCAAATGTTCTTCATTTTCTGCATCGCCTTGCACCAGTTTATGGCCTCGTCCTAATTAATAATTACACAATATCACTTACATTGAAATGACGTTTGTGTAGAGCATTATTATTGTTAACTAAAACTACTGAAAACATTATTGTTAATTCAGGTACAGCTGAAAATAAAATAAAATAAAATAAATATTAGATGAAATAATGTAATAATGGAAATAAATCTGATATAAAAATAAATTATAACTAAACTAAATAAACAAACTTAAATACTAAGCAACAATAAGTAATACATCATTCTTTATTATCATTATCTAAAACTAAAACTACTGAAAACATTTTTGTTAAATCAAAGAGCTAAAAAATAAAATATAAATATTAGATGAAAAAATTTTACTAATCTGAAATCAATAAATACAAAAATCAATAAAACATAAAAATGAAATAACTAAACCTAAAATAAAAATAAATTATAACATAAATAAACTTAAATAGTAAGCAATAAGTAATATATCACTATTTTAACTTCGTTTTTTAAAATAATCGAAATTTAAAAAAAATAAACTAATAAACTAATAATAACAAAATCACTAAACATTAAACTAAAACTGAAAATATAAAAATAAAAGTCAATAGAGTGCTGCAGTCTTGACATCAAAACCCGGAAGACTAATTCGCCCTGGATTTCCTCAAGATTTTCCTATGGGTTTTTAATGATGGGATTTTTCATTTTATGGGTATGGTAAACATAAATTGACAATACTTGGAATTTTTGCAGTCACGACTGCAGCACTCAAAATATTATATTCAAAATATTAATAACTAGAAAATGAGTATAGAAATAATACTAAAATAGCTGTGTGGTGCACTCACAAATTAGTCAAAGCAAATCTTACCCCAGTAATGAGAGGGTCCTGACAGCGGAGGTCCGACCCCAGGAATCCCAGCATACCCCACTGCTTCCTCCCACAGCTGATGGGGCAGAGGTGGAGGCAGCTCCAGTTCCTCTAAAGCCCCGGCCTCCACCTGGAGTTGCTCATTTGGTGACGCCACTGGCTCTTCCCGTGGCTCCACCTCTGTCTGCCCTACAACGGCCAATCGGGATGCTGGACTGGGCGGGTCCTGAGGCGTCTCGGGGGGCGTGGTCTGTATGCAAAGTGCAGCACTGGGAGTCAGTCCTAGAGACCGGAGGGAGCAGCTTAGCTCAGCTTCTCCAAAGCGCTTTCGAGGAAACCCTTGCAGGAGGGAGAAAGCAGGTAGCGAAGGGTGGCGGCCGGCAATGTATTGGACGACGTGACTTAAGGGAGTGTCTGCAGGAAAACGCTCGCGCATTGATTCCCCAGAGGGAAGACGAATCTATGACACAAACAAAACAAACAGGTTTGACTTCATGTGAAATAATGCCAACAGCGGTTGTTAGAAAGCAGAGAAGAAACAGATGTGATCTCGCACCATGAGGATGCAGTGGTTGTCCACGCTGGTCTCCACACGTCCGCCCAGTCTCTGGCCCTGTCCACTGGATGGAGAGGTCTCGGCCGTGGCTTCGGTTTGGGCCTTCTCCTGCTGACTGCGCCGGTCCTCTGCTATCCTCTTCAATACCAACTCACGCTCCTGATCAAAGGACAAACCGTTAATGCACTAAAAAACCAAAAATTATCTTGAAGACTATGAAACTGACAGCTGATGTAGCAAAAACACAGATTGCACTAAAAAGAGGACGGAATTTTTATTTATTTACTTTTATTTTGAGGTTGTTTTCACATAGTGACTTCTTTACGGCATAATATAATAAATGTACATTTATTATAATTATATTTATAATATTAAAATGTATAAATAATATGTATTTTTTCTTTTTTAGCTATTTAAAATATATGTTATTATACAAATATTAATTATATGAACTGTATTAGAGAATATAAGATATTTGTCAATTATATATATATATATATATATATATATATATATATGT